TGTAATTCTCACCACAAACTCTCTGTTTTTCTCGCAACCTCTGTTTTTGTTCTTGTTAAAACAGAAAATACAAGAACACGTTTAAACACTTTAATGTCTTCATTGATAATAAACTTGATAATCTTACTCAACACAAAGACACACATACATATAGTGGTTTAGCTCCACTTGCTACACTACACATACTTAGACTCTAGACCACATCATTGTCCTAAGACTTACATGACCTACTTAGCTATGTTGGAACTCCCAACTCCTTAATTCACTCTTACACAACATCTTTAGACTCTATCTTAGACTAACAACCCAACACTCATTAACTAAACATATTTGAGCCTAATTCATCTGCAGCCCATTACAACAAAACACAAAGCCCAACATCTCTTCTGTTGACTTTGTTCCTTCCTCTTCATACGTCGTTGACCTTCTTGTTACGACATTTTTTTCTTTTTTAAAAAACTATATATTATGAAATCCGAGTATACATGATTTGAATAAAAGCGCGGGTAGGAAAACTGAGAAAACTATTGGGTCAAACTTGCATTATCATGAAATCATAAAGAAAGGGCGTTTGGTCTAGTGGTATGATTCTCGCTTTGGGTGCGAGAGGTCCCGAGTTCGATTCTCGGAACGCCCCTATTTAGTTTTTTTCAACTTTTTAGATCGTATATACACGCGCATGATAGCAAAGTCTGCGCATTACTTTTAATGACAAAAATACCCCTTATCTTTTGTTTTTTTATCCTCCTCATCTTCTACAAACACACTCACAGAGACACACAAAACAAATCCCAAAGCTTCAGAGGAATAAGAAGAAGAAGAGAGTGAGAAACAATGGCGTCGACGACTCTCTCAATCGCAACAACAATCCGTTCCTCTTCTCCTCTCACTTGCGCTTCCACTCATCACTTCCTTTCCAAACCCACCGCAATCGAATTCCCATTTCGTCTCAGCTCTTCTTCTAGCCACCGTGCAATCAACCTCCGTCCTATCTCCGCCGTCGAAGCTCCGGAGAAAATCGAGAAAATCGGATCCGAAATCTCCTCCTTAACCCTCGAAGAAGCTCGTATCCTCGTCGACTATCTCCAAGACAAATTCGGTGTCTCCCCACTCTCCTTAGCCCCCGCAGCAGCGGCTGTTGCTGCTCCAGCCGACGGTGGTGCGGCGGCTGTAGTGGAGGAGCAAACAGAGTTCGATGTGGTTATCAATGAAGTTCCGAGTAGTTCTCGTATTGCAGTGATTAAAGCTGTTAGGGCTTTAACTAGCTTGGCGTTGAAGGAAGCTAAGGAGCTAATCGAAGGATTACCAAAGAAGTTTAAAGAAGGTATCACTAAAGATGAAGCTGAAGAAGCTAAGAAGACTCTTGAAGAAGCTGGTGCTAAAGTCTCCATTGCTTAAGTTTCTTCAACAATCGGAAAAAAAAAAGTGATATTTTCAGAATTTATGAGTCTTTTTGTTGTTTAGTATAGTTTGTGTTTGAGTTGTTGATTCAGCTGTTGAGAAATTGTTGTTCTTTGAATCAATTTGGTTTCGTATTACAGTATTTAGTCTTCAACAATTTCTTCCTCTAGATGCACATAACCTGTTTGTTGAAATGCCTAGCTCAAAAAACACACAAAACAGAGTAAACTTGCTTTTGCATAAAAATCTGATATATTTTTATAAACTTGCTTTATCTATAATACATGAGTTTAACATTGTGTTAAATAACGTAATGATAAACGAAATCGAAAACGAATATTAAGGAAATCTAAAACATTAATCAGACAAGTCTAAACCTTTTTCTTCTCGTTTTTTTATTCTCCAGAGGAAAAAAACGAAAACTTTACGCCGCAGGAATCGAGGAAGAAGGTGGTTTCTAGATTCGCTGCTTCTTCCTTCTTCTTATTCAGGTGATTTTGATTTCCTTATTCTTCGAAAGGTGTTAACTTTACGTGTTTTTCTCGTGAAAAAACCCTTTTTTTTCAATTACCAAGTTTCTTCTGTTTGTCTTAGGTTTATGTTTGGTTTCTAATCATTGTTGTTTGAATATGTAGAGAATCAAGAAGAATCTTTCTGGTTCTATGGGGAATATTCTACCGACTGGGTCTAGGGTTTCTGAGAACGAGGGTTCTGATGACAACAAATTGAAGGAGAACGATGTTAAGATGGAGAATGTTAAGGAAGACTCTGAACAAATTGAAGATTATGTGATGAGTGAGGTTTCTTCATTGAGAGATAATTTTGAAGAATTAGAAAATGTGTTTCATGTGGGAGATTTTGTTTGGGGAGAAGAAGTCAATAGTCAACAATGGTGGCCAGGTCAGATTTATGATTCTTTAAATGCTTCAGACTTGGCTTTGAAGACAATGCAGAAAGGTAAATTACTTGTGGCGTATTTTGGAGATGGGAGCTTTGGTTGGTGTAATCCATTGGAATTGAAACCGTTTCTTGAGAATTTTAAAGAGTTTTCGAAGATGAGTGATTCTAGAAGGTTTCTTCGTGCTGTGGAGGAAGCTGTGAGAGAGATTGGTGAACACGTTGAGAAGTTTTTGGTTTGTGATGACGCTGCTTTAGTTAGTTCTGTAGCTTTGAATTTGGGGATTAAGGATGGTGTTGTTGTGCCTGATGTTAGAAGAAAGATTATATCGTCTTTGGTTCTTGAAAACCCCGGTGTTGTTCTTGATGATGTGAAACGCCTTGCGAAGACGATTAGTTTTAGTAATTTGCTAGAGATTGAGGTTTTGAAGAGGAAGATATCGGCGTTTTATCGGTGTAAAGGAAGGTTTGATTTAGCTAAGTTTGATGAACATCGATATATTATAGGACTTGAGGACAAAGAGGATGAATCTTGTCAGAGATTATTGAGAAAATGTTCAGGTTTTGCTAGCAAAAAGAGGAAATGTGGTGATGTAGCAACCTCTGGTTCTACTACTTTGAGGAGGAGAAGACTGAGTGAAGTTTCGAAGATTGACGGGAAGAGTTTGTCGTCGAGGAAGAGGAAGAGCAAAAGGGGTTTGGATGAGAATGATGATGATGGGATTGAGAAAAGAGAAGAGTCGAACGACTCAAACCATTTAGAAGAGAGTGAGAAGAAAGATGATTTAGCAACTCCATTGGCTTCAATCTGCAAAAGGCTCAATGTTGATGTTTCTTCATGTGTTAAAAGGTGTAATGGAAATGGCGAGACAATATTGCAGACAGGTAAAAGAGAGAGGAAGAAAAGCAAGTATCTTTCTCCTGAATACATGACAGATTTTAGTTGCAGAGCGAGAAAGAGCAAAATAGAATCTGCTGAATCAAGTCAGATCCAAGTAGCAGTGCGAATGACAACGCCTAATACAGCCATCGATGTTGTGAAACTGGGAACTACACCAGAGGAAATGCTGGCTCTAATCCGTGCGGCTGCTCTCAATGCACAATATCCAAAAGACTATAATACCTCATGTGACATGGTAAGAGAGTTTGTGTCCAATTATCGAAGCTTCAATAACAAGAGGAACCTTTCAGATGTAGAGAAGCAGCCTGAAGTGAAACAGGAAGTAGTGGATGAGAAAGAGAAAACCAGAAATGAACCAGGTGTTGAGCTATATATCAAGACTGGTTTTGGTTCTACTCTGCCTTCAAAAGATGATTTGATCAAAACATACGAAAAGTTTGGAGCTTTAGACAAAGAGAGAAGCAATATGTTCAACAATAACTCATGCTCATGCGTTGCCTTTGTGAATGCATCTGATGGAGAAGAAGCTTTTAACAGGTCATTAGAGAAATGTCCATTTGCCACTACTTCCACAGTAACATTCAAGCTCGAGTATCCATCTTCTGCTTCTGAGAAGAAGGAAGCTGAAACAAGAAAGGGCGTAACAGAAATCGAGTGTTTGAAGGAGAAGCTCGAGGGGATAAGAGCATTGTTAGATCAATCAGAGGGAAAGATTACGGAAGAATTGAAAATGAAACTTGAAGATGAATCAAGAAACTTGCTTGACAAGGTAAGGAAGATGATTATTTGATCCTCTTAGTTAGGATTGTTTTTAATATTAGTTGAAAGAAGACTTTTAGCTCTTAGGAGACGATAGGTGTCAAAACCTGAGAGTGAGACTATTTTGTGCAGACAAAACACAAAAGCGTGAAACACTAATGAAAACCAAATTTCAAGGCCCAATGGGCTTTTGATCTGAACCTTTATGGAATAGCTGGATTTTTCTGTTTTTTCTATTGTCGGCGAGAATTTAAACCTAAAGAGGGTAACCCGGTAAAATGAGTCCGAGGGTTACACTTTAATGGGCCTTTAATAAGCCCATTAAGTATCTATAAATACCGTACATGATTCTTCATCTTCATCATCGTAACTGAAACAAAAACCCTAATTCTTATGCTTCTTTCTCCGCCGCTTCTCTGTTTTTCGCAAATTAGATTTCGTTTTAGGATCTCTGTTTTTTTGGCGATGATGATCAATGCTTAATTTCTGACACCTCTTGTTTGAGAAGAGCTTGATAACCTCTTCTTTGAGCACATTATGCAATACTCTGAGCCTTACCAATTTTTGTTTAGAAAGACAAGTTTTTTGGATCTGAATTAGGGTTTAAGAGTGCTATGATTGTAAAAGTAATTCCTCGTACTGAAAGCCAATGGCTTGATAGACTCACATTACTACCCATAGAATATGAGCACTTACTCTTCAATATCAAGTTTTGTTTTAGCTTTGGTGTTGTTGTTTAGCATTGTTCCTTTGTTTCTTAAGAGCCAAGTTTTGAATTGTTGTTGGTAGAATTAGTTTCGTTGAGTAATGCCCATTTGTTACATTGATAGTGATTAGTGTTTCGTTTATTATTTTTTGTGTTGTTATATATGTAGAGTTAGTGGTGGTAATTGGCGAGGATGAATAATGCTAAATTTCTGACACCTCTTGTATGAGGAGAGATTGATAACCTCTCCCTTGAGCACATTAAGCAATACTCTGAGCCTATTCATTACCATTAGATTTGTTTTGTGTTTGGAGATGAGTGTGGATATAAGTTGGGTTGGATGCTATGATTGTAAAAGTAATTCCTCGTACTGAATGCTCTCAAGGCATGATAGACTTACATTACTACCCATAGAATATGAGCATCACCACCCTCTTCTACTAATCTCTTTTATATGTTTTCTAGTTTTTTACTAGATGTTGTGATTTTCGTTGTTTGTGTTTTGTCCCTCTCAAGTGCATTAAAGAACAAGATGTTCATTCTTGTTCAGTCCTTATACTTGGGTTTCTGTTGGCTTGCTTGAATCGGCAGTTGCATCTGCTTTGGACAACCCTTTTCATTTGGCTATCCTTTTTGTGGATTTTGACCCGCTTTGTCTCAATGTTTGTTGTGATCTTCGCTGTTACGTTTCTGTTGTTGATAGTTGATAATATTTGATGTGAAATGTTTTCTTCCAGCTATGTCAAACGTAATCAACTTGGCCAACTTTCTCTACAATTTGAAAAGCTTCAAAACTCTGTCCCATGCTTATTTGTAGTCTAGAGTCTGTCTTTTGTGCAATTAGCTACTCAACTGTCTCCTTATTTTTGGTATGATGGAATTTGTTGAAACGGCTATTTGTAGAGATTCATAAAATTTGCCATTGTTGTTGATCATAGTATTTCCAGCGACAAACAACTACTGTCTAACCATCTGTTTGGGGCGATAAGCAGATGATTCTGTATTTTCTGCTTGTAGAACGTTTCTAGCTCAATAGCAACCATTACGGGGATAACAAATTTCTTAGTTTGCTCTTGCTCAGTTCTCCTTTGAGGCTTCACATAAGTTTGTTTTAGTCCATTTGCTCTTCGATGCTTGGAAATCGCTTAAACTAAAGATAAAATATTGTAGCCAATTCTTTTAAGGTCCTGTCGGGTCATTTGAAGTGATCAAAAATCTTCTATACAATGTGAAGCCATCTCTTCCCAAAGGCTTCGTAAATATACCTGCGAGTTGAGACGTCATACCAACATGACGAAGAATAACATTACCACCAATGGCTTCATCACCGACAAAGTGACTGTCTAATTCGATATGCTTGGTTCTTTCATGACAGTCTATGGCGACGTATATTTTCATACAAATGAGTTCAACAATATTTTTTTTCGACAAAAAAAAGAAAAGAAGAGTTCAACATTATTTTCACACCCTTTTAACAAAAAATTGACTTCTGTCCCAATACAAAAGAATGTTCAAAAGGAATTTTAGCTAACAAATTTAATATTTAATATAGATTATATATGTAAAAGCAACCAAAAATCTCATTTAAAATGTTTAGTCAGGTTTCTTCAAGTTACTGTCTAGTAACTCCAATATCTGAATCATAAATTTTATATTAAAATGAACAAAAAAAACAAATTATTCTCTGGAAACTATTTACATTTTAGCTAAGAAGAGAAGAGTAAGAAGGAAAAACGAACCAAACCCGCTCCCAACCGCCATTCCAAAGTCGGCGCCTATGGTTCTTCCTGACCGTTTGATCAATGGTCTCTCAGAATCGCGATCCATTGTACCTTCAGAACATGAGAATCTGAGTTCCCCGCAGAGATGGTTACTCTCAAAGCTCGAGTTTGGAAACGTCTGAAACTGACCACCAGAAGGGATTGTTCCCGAGAGATTGTTATAAGCAACACTGAACCTCGACAGAAACGAGAGCTTTTGCAGAGAAACCGGTATCGAGCCCGAAAGACGGTTATTAGACAGATCAAGAGTTTCCAAGCTCATCATACCCGAAAGCGAGCTAGGAATTGATCCAGATAAGTCATTCCATTTCAGATCAAACACATGAAGCTTCTTCAGATTACCAAACTCCTTCCAAATAGGTCCAGAGAGATTGTTATGAGCAAGCTCAATTGTTGGCGGAAACCCGAAAATCTGATTGTATTGCAACGCTCTCGCGCTTTCGTTTCTTTTCATGAAAAATGAGAAATCTGGAGATGGCTCATTGACTGAGATATTACGGCTAGTGAGACTCTCCAACTTAGTTAAGCTCTTGGGGATTTCTCCGGTAAACGAGTTGTTCGATAAATCCAAGTAGAACAGAGCATTGAAATCACCAATCCAACTCGGGATAGCTCCGGTTAAACGGTTCCAAGAAAGATCCAACAACTGAAGATCATTGCTCGAGCTTAACCACCTCGGCATTGAACCAGTAAGCCTACAATTCGTCATTACAAGCACCTTAAGCTTCTCGAAACGAAGACTCGAATCATCGGGTAAAGCCTCTCCATGGAAATTCAATGTAAGAACCAAAGTCGTCAAGTTCTTGCAATGCTGAAGAATCCCAAGCGCAGAAGATATATTAACCAAACTCGAGTTAGATAACGAGAAGTAAGAGAGACTCTGGAAGTTCTTGAAAGTCTCTGGCACTTGTCCATGGAAAGCGTTTCGCCCGAGGTTAACGTTCTTTAACCGCTTGCATTCCGGTAGATTATCAGGCAACGACACATTGAACTTATTAGAACCCAAATCAAGAGAGTATAAAGCAATCATCGCCGTGCAATTCAACCGCAAAGGACCCGATAATGAATTGTTCCTCAAGTTAAGCAGATTCAAACTCGGTGAATTCGCCAACGATTTAGGGATTCCTCCAATGAACGCATTGGTCTGACCTGTGAAAAACTTTAACTGAGGCATTTCGTCGAACACATCAGGGATCTCGCCGGCAAACAAATTCCAAGAAAAATCAAGACGAACAAGACTCGAGAGGTTCCTAATCTCACGACTCAACGATCCAGAGAGACGATTCTCTTGAATCACTAAAAGACTCAAACTTTTGAGATGAAACAAATCCTCAGGGATATTACCAGTAAGATTGTTCATACCTAGATCAAGATGCTCGAGCAAAACACATTTCCCAAACCCAGAAGTGAAATTTCCGGCGAAGTAGTTCACCGCAAGTTTCACAACCCTAATTTGAGTAGAGTTATGGCAGATATGAGACGGAAGCGACCCATTGAATCCATTGGAAGAAAGATCAAGAATTTGCAACGGTGGAAGATTTATGCTTCTTGGGATTTCGCCGGAGAGATCATTAGAGCTCAAATCAAGAGTCTGTAGATTCTTCAAGTTGAAAATCGAAAGAGGGATAGAATCTTTGATGAAGTTCCGAGAGAGATTAAGAATCCTAATCTCATCTAGCTTCCCAAGAGATTCAGACAAGTTACCCGACAGCTGTTTGTTCACGAGCTCCAGTTTCGTGATCCTTCTGATGTTGTTTGAATTGCAGGTGATTCCAGTCCAATTGCAGCAATCTACAGAAGAAGAAGAATTGATCCAACCATCTGGTTTTTGTTCGAGATTGGCTATGAAGTTACGTAAGGCCTCGAGGTCATGTTGATGGCACGTGGAGGTGGTCTGAGATTCCGAGGAACAGAAGAAGCATAGTAGCTGTGTGAGGGAGATGACGATCACACACAGACGATGAACACGCATTCTCAAGAACAGAGGAAGACAAGATGATTTTTAAAATGCTAAAAAGGTAGAAACTTTGAGAAGAAGAAGCAGTAGAATTAAGAATTCAACAAAAACATTGAGAAATCTGAGAGAATACGAGATGGGTTTTCTAATTCTCACCATTATTAATGAAGATGAAGCAAAATATGAGAGAGACAGAAGAGAGAAAAATGGCGACTTTTGACCTCACGCTAGTCTTTTTTTTTTTTTGCAGTCAAAGATACGACTATTATTGATTGTGTCACAGGCATGTCCAATACCGAATACAAATTTGACTCGTTTATACTTTCTGGGACATGATAGAGCAAGTGGGCCTAATGGGTTTTGAAAAACTTTCTGGCAGAATCCAAAGCCCACCAAAATTAGAAAAGCTTCAAGTATATTTTGATAATTCAAAACGATTATTGTTTATTTCCAAACTATATAGTTTGAATTTTTTCTTTAGAAAAAATAATTGAAAATAGTTTTATTATTGAACGACGTGTTACATTTAATAAAAACATTATAGAAATATATTTAACTTTATTCCTGTGACTGCAATAGCTCACGTAACTTATATAAGCTATTGCATTTTATCTATAAGTAACTGAGCCCACGAATAGTATCTTATATTTTTGGCAATATTAACATTCGAAACTATTTTTGATTTTTTTTTGTTTATTTAAATATGTAAAGTTATAAATAAATATGTAATGTAGTCTTTATAGAGAAATTAATTAACAAATAAGTTTATTATGTAAAAGATGAGTACACGAATTATGGACCAATGGTAGGTGTGAAGCCGTGTTACAGTTAAAACTTTTAAAGTTAAAGAAACACAAATTCCATAAATAGAAACATTTGTTCTTTATTTTTAACAATGACTTTTATTACTCTAATTGCAACTAACGTGAGCTGTTTGTATTTCATCTATACTGTTTATTTCTTTCTCGTAGAAGATGGACCAAACCGAATTTGTGACAACACCGTGCGATGCCTAATCTAAATCCAAACGTTACTATTCCAATAAATAAGTCACAAATATTATATATAGCCACGTGTCAAAATGTTCACGTTCGACTCGTCGAAGCCCGACAAATGTCAGAAGCTCTTCACTAAAATGTTTAAGGCAAAACACAGAGAAAAAAACTACACAAGAAAAATTAGATAAATACAGAGGAATTTGTTAAAACTTAAAAAGAGACGAAAGAAAAAGTGAGATAAAAAGAGAAAAAATGTGAAAAGAAATTTGAAAAAGTGAACTTAAAATAAAAATAAAGAAATTTCGGCAATTGCTTCTCGTCGTTTACTTCCACAAGAGGCAAAGTTGAGTACTACTCAGCGCAAGAACATACTCTTTCTCTTTAGGATCTTTGCTTTATTTTAGAGTTTTTCTTTCTCTCCTCTCTGCAAGAATTAGATCTTGGGAACACAATTGGGACCAAGTAAGAGATCTTTCAGACAATTTTATTTTTCTTACCTTTTTTCATAATAGTTACTGTTTAGTGCAGCTTCTAGATTTTCTTATCCAACATTTTGAGTTCTTTGTTTCCTCTCTTAATTAGATTCTAGCTACCTCTCCTTATCTACTACATTTAGTGATCTGGTGAGTGATTGTTACTGAAAAAAAGTTTGATTTCTAGAAGATAATTTATTGATCTTATGGCTGGAGA